TTGTTTTGTTATGAACACAGATATATATTTATTTTATTTTATTTTTAACAGTTTTATTGACACTTCACTCACAAATCATACAACTCAATAGTTCAATCATATCTAGAGAGGTGTGCAATCATTACCACAATCAATATTATGACATTAAAAAATTATTTTATTGGTGGCTCGTACAATTCTCATCACAATCCATACATCCATTGTGTCAAGCACATATGTACATTTGTTGCCATCATCACTCTCAAAACATTTGCCTTCTACTTACTTGAGCCCTTTATATCGGGTCCTCATTTTCCCCCTCCCTCCCCAATCCCCCCTCCTTCATGAACCCTTCATAATTCATAAATAATTATTTTGTCATATGTTACACTGTCCAACATCTCTCCCCGCCCTCTTCTCTGCTGTCCATCCCCCAGGGGGGAGACTATACTTAGATTCTTGTAATCTGTTCCACCAGTAATACTTTTTCTTATCTAGGATTAAATTTGAGTAATAGAAGCACCTACTGTTGCCAAGCTGTAGATTATTAAGGAGAAAGCCACAGTTATTAAAAATGAAATGTCCTTCTGGATGGAAATGATGAAACTCCAAAGATAAGTTTTAAATTCACATTGTTTTCATTTAAACATCAATAATGAGTTTCTTACCAAATATTTTTACAAAGAACATAGAAATTCTATTTAAAGCTTAATACAGTAGGTTATATTATGGTGTAACTGGCAACTTTAGTGATTTTCATGTAAAAGAGTTAAAATGTTGCTCAAAATAAATGGCTATTTGTGAAAATATCAAGATTATATAGAAAACTTCGCAGGGCAAAGAAAAAAAGTCCTAAGTGGAGCATAACCCAAAATATCCACCTTTAATCATGAATATTCTGTAGATAGTTTAACTTTTTTCTTATACTCAACTATTAAAATGTAGCTACAACAATCAAAAGAAATTTAAAACCCAAATATCCATTATTAATCAGGTCCACATTTTTAAATGTTTTGTTTTACTAAAGCGTGGGCAATTTCCTCATGATGCTTCTTCCACTCTCCTTTGAGTAGAGGAGGCACATGATTTCTATCTTGACCACGAAACAGACAGGAATCATGGTGACGCTTCTGGAATCTGGTGACTGGTGAGGTGAAACAGAGTGGCATGACGGTTCTGTATGCACAGGAAGCTATGCCTCGCTCAATGGGCTTCTCTTTCTTCACATGCAGTGAGGTTTATGAACACACAAGACCCTGAGGTCACGGAGAACTTCCTTTTATGGGAGTGACTTGGAAGAGCAGGTTGATATTCCACAGAGCTGCTAACTCTCCCGTCCGAATACTGGGAAAGGTGGCTGAATATGGGGAATGTGGACATAACCAGCAAAGACCCTGTGTCCCTCCATCAGTGTATCATCTTTTACCTTTCTTGGTTCTTAAAAATGACAAGCAGTTTATAGCGTCCACAGTTCTAAAAATATACATTTATGCTTTGATAATGGAGGAGAAGGAAGACTTTCCAGAAAACTCAAAATGCAAACCCTCTGTTAGCGAATCGATTCCAACTCATAGCAACCCCATGGGAACGTGTAGAACTGAATCTGTGTGCTTCTAAGACTGTAACTCTTAGCAGAGTAGAAAGCCTCATCTTTCTTCCTCTCTAGCAAAAAGTACTACAAAAAATAGATTGTGACATTTGGAAACCAAGCAAGCATGCTCCAGGCAAAAAAAACCAAATTAAGACATAAGTCTCAGGACTTGTGCCAGAGTGTAAATTCTGGCATTAATTATCCCATAGTTTTTCTGTGCACCCAAAACATAGTCATAATTGCTATGGAAATCATGAATGAATATGCACTTAGTTGGCTCATTTAGATTAATCTTAATGTTTATATTACTTCTGCTATATATAATTACTTTAGTCTTTCCTAAATAAATGTGAAAAAATAGTGAAAAATAAAGTCTTGGGAGACTAACTAATAACTGTAATCTGCAATATAATATATTACCTAGCATACTGACAATCTATATTTTATAAATGGCTGGGACTAATTATATTTCAGTAGACATGAAAAAGACAGAAGAAAATACAGCGATTATTGCAAGTATCAGATGAGTCAAATGGAAGTTACTGGTTTACCAAAATTATTCCATAAAGTTCTATGAGAGAACTACAAAAAGCAATTCTCTTATATACTCATAAATTTTGGGTAAAAATAAAATCCCCTCCTCAGCATTATATAGGGTTTCCAAGGCTGTACATCTTTACGGGAGCAGACAGCCTACTCTTCCTCCCTGGAGCAGCTGGTGGGGTTGAACCCCTGACCTTATGATGGGCAGCCTAACACGGAACCACCACACCATCAGGGCTCCTTCTCCTTTATCACAAAGAATGGCAAATTAGTAAAAGAAAGCATTTAGAAAACAAAGGACAATCTTTAACTTGTATATTTTTATTTTCTCACACACATTATCTAAGTATTTCTCTAAAACTGATCTCCAAAAGACTACTTAATGTAAAAAAGTAGACTGAATTATTTATGAATTCTATAGATTAAAAAAAAATTATGGTATCAAAAATTTAAATGGAAAGAATATTAAAAGTAAATACTGACTAATTTTATATTTCTAAAATTTAGAGAAAATAATTATGAGGCCTGAAAAAAGAATAATAAAAACCAAGGTATATGTAATAGAAGCTATTAGGAAGATTAATAATTCATATATCAAGGAAGCTATGCTACATATATATCAAACCAGATTTTTTTTTAACAAAGGGCTTAGGTATCAAAAATGTTAAAAGAAAGTACATATGTTTCCAAACACTTAATTGTGTTCACGCAGAAGTCATATACAGACCAAGAGTCAGTCGTGCAAACAGCACAAGGAGATACAGCGTGGCTTAAAATCAGGAAAGGTATGTGTCAGGGTGGTCTTGTTTCACTAGATTTATTTAACCTGTATGCTGAACAAATAACTCACCAAGCTGGACTATATATAAAGAAAAGCTCAGCACCAAGATTGGTAGGAGTCTCAGTAACAACCTACGATATGCAGATGACACAACCTTGCTGGCTGAAGCCAAGATGACTTGATGCACTTGCTAATGAAAATCAAGGACAATAGCCTTCCGTACAGATTACAAAGCAATGTTAGAAAAACATAACCTTCATAAGAAAGCCAATAGACAGCATCATGATGAAAAATACCGAATTTGTTAGGATTTCAATTTTTTGGATCCACAATCCATGCTCTGAGTTACAGTAGTCAAGAAGTTTAATACATTGGGAAATCTAGTACGCATGGCCGGATACACACCTGTTAAAGATGCTGAGTTAGTTAGTTTATTATGCCAACCTGGCCGATAAACATATGTGGAATTAATTGAAGGGCAGAGGGATAAATAAATGGCTTGGTGAGCCTCGCCTTTCTAGTTCTCGAGTCTCTTGCTTTGTGATGGTCACACCAGGGTGTAGCTGCCTTAGCAGTTCCCTGCTTCAGCTTGCAAGGCTGACTTCCTGCAAGACATCCCCAAGGAGAAGCCACATGAACCTATCCTGATGCAGCCCTGGGGGCTGGAGCAGCCGTGTGGAGACCCCTGCCAGTGCTGAGATGCTTATACATTCACTGACTCAGCTTACCTCCTGCAGTCGGCATCATTGCGTGTGTTTTGTGAGATGGAGGAGGACTTTGTGGATTGGTGTTGGACATATGGGTTAATGGGTTAATGTTGGACTTGGGCAGCACTGGGTTGGGATGTTTTCTTGATGCGCACTTAACCTATATATAAAACTCTCTCTTATGCATGAGTTTCTGTGGATTTGTTTCTCCAAAGTACCCAGACTAATACATTAGATGCCACACTGAAGACTCAAGATATGGTGTTCTCAAAGGCCTCATAGTGAATAGGGACAATGAATAAGCATGGGCACAGTGACTGCAACAAGGGGTTCAAACATAATTGTGTGGATAGTGCAGGACATGGGATCACTATAATCAGCACCTACCAATACCAACATATGTTCTAGTTACTTCTATCCACTTTCTTCAAAATTTGATTCGTTTGGAATAGTTTCAAGTAAAATAAAATAAAAATGATACACACTTGTCTTCTGGGTTATTCAGAATTTTAAAAAACCACATTAAAATGATCATCTGGTAGAGGATTATTTAAGGATCTCTGGTGCAAGTCACTATAATAAAACAATTAAACATTCCCCTTGTTGTTGTTAGATGCCACTGAGTGGTCCTCTGACTCTGAGGGGCCCAATCAAAATGGAAGCAAATGGTGCCTGGTCCTGTGCATCCCCAAGATCAGTTACGGATCAGTGATCCACTGACTGGTCTTCAGAATTAGATCACCTGAGTTGCCATTGATTCATGCAGTGAGTCATTCCTATAAAACTCTTAAGAGGAAAACCTCACTGACATTGGATTGACTCATAGTGACCACGTAGGGAAGGGTAGAACTGGCCCAGTGCACTTTCAAGACTTACCTCTAAGGGAGGAGAAAGCCTGGTCTCTCTCCTGTCACTCCTATAAACTCATATAATATTCCATCGTTGGAGAAGGGAAGTGTTTCTTAAAAATCATCACATTAAGCATCAGCATTGATTTTTATAAGATAGAGAACAACCTCATTAGGGATTAATACACAGCCTCAAGGACAATACAAATTACATAGCATTCATGGCCCTTTAAAACAACAACAAAAAAGATCTGACCTTTTGCAGTAACAACTAATTCTTACTAAGCTTTCAAGTTCAAGGTCAAGAGTGGTTGCCTATATAGGGGGCACTTCAAAAAATTGCAGTCATGATTATAAAAAGAATAAACTGTGCATGTAACTTATGTTATAACTGATTACCTTCATTGCAATGAATATAATTTTAAACACCGTAATAATGATAATAATATCATCAGTATTTGTAGAACATTATACTTCACAGGACAGTTCTCTGATGCTCATAAAACCCTGTGAGATAAAAAGTGCTTTCTCTCTATTTGACAGATAAAGAAACCGAGGTGTGTGAATATAGCAAATCTCAGAGCCAGAATGGCAGAGCCAGAATGATCATGTCTTATTAGTCTATAGATCATCAGAATCGAGCATCTAGTGAATACTTAATAAGCATGTGGCACAAAAATTAATTCAAAACTTCTGATTCCTAAAGCCCACTATTCCTTTTACTATCAGCTTTACTAATTTTCCTTCAATTTTCAGGATAGGATCGTAGCAGAATCCAAATTACTAACTCAAATCGACAATGTTACTTAACCGAGGCAATTTAGATGCTCCAACATTCTTGGTTGAGAACGTAACTAGCCTTTTTTGTCTCCCATTCTCTCCACACATGTGATACAAGGAAAATACCTTATTAAGTACAATAGACAAAGAAAAAAATAAAGCTATAGATAAGTACATATTAAGGCAATTAACATAAAGTGAACACTCAAATGTTGTTAAAATTATGACACTGATTTTGGATAATAAAAAATGGTTTACCTGTGGTGCAAGAAGTGGGAGCCTAATATAAGCCAAAAGTTTACTGAGATCTTTCCGTCTCTGTTCCAAGTCATGGCGAACCCAAGTCAGAAGTGCATTCAGTATTGTTTCCTCGTTGGGAATGTTCATGTCGTCACTGGCCAAGAGCTTTGCAATTTCACTGGCTGGTAATAATACAAATTCCTGGTTCCTAATTACTTCCATGAAATGCTCCTAGAGGAAAGAATACCAAAGAAACAATGTTCTTCCTTTTGGCCATCACAGTTTATTACAGAAAATGAAAGCGTTTTGGAATTTGATGCCAAACAATTTATACTGCATTACTGCTTCCTAGGAAAGAGAGTAAAAACCATTTAAAATGCAATTATATTGTTAAGCCTTTTGCTTTTAGATAAGTAGAATTAAAGTATTGTATCACTTACTACATTTTAAAAAGGGATTCGGGACACAAATATTCCTTTGCACAAGTCAGGGAATAGTTTTGGCTAGTTTCAAAGGAAGATAGAAAAATTCATTAGACATTGAGAGGCAAAATCACCTCAGCGGGTACTGGCCAACAGTGGAGCTAAACAGTGGTGAACCTTGAAGTAATCTCTTATCATAACTGGCCTCCAAGACGGCTAGATTTCCTGGGATCATTCTGGCGTCTTCTCCTCATGGCTATTCTATAACCTTTAAAAGTGCTTTGTTATCTGAAAGACCAACAGCAATTTAGGGCTGTTCTGAGAATGTTTACCTTGTCTAATCTGATTTATATACACAGCACTCCTGGTCTCCTAGAAAAAAGTACCAAAGCAAAAAGGTGGACTGGGGTTCCAGGATCTTACAATGAGGATGACTCTGTTCTGACCAGAATCAACTCCCAATCATCTGAGGTGGGAGACAAAATGCCCTAAGTTTGAAACAAGGGCTTTTAGTAGGCCATTATAGTACATAATCTGAAGAGAAAGAAAACTTACTCTCTTGTATGAAAAGTTTTAAATCCTAATACATAAAATACAAGGGGGCTTCAAAAGTTGTATAAAAATAGAATGAAAAGGTAACGGAATTTCTCCATGAATTTTTTGAAGTTCCTCATTTTCATTACATAACTATAATATAAATATAAATGCAAGTGCTAGGCATAATGGTTCTCTCTTTTTAAAAAATCATTTTATTGAGGACTCGTACAACTCTTATCACAATCCATACATCCATCCATTGTGTCAAGCACATTTGTACATTTGTTGCCTTCATCATTCTCAAAACATTTTCTTTCTACTTGAGCTCTTGGTATCAGCTCATTTTTCCCCCTTCCTCCCCCACCCTCCCTCCTTCTCCAAACCTTGATAATTTGCAAATTATTTTTTCATGTCTTACACTGTCCGACGCCTCCCTTCGCCCACTTTTCTGTTGTCCGTCCCCCAGGGAGGGTGTTATATGTAGATCCTTGTGATCGGTTCCCCCTTTCTCTCCCACCTTCCCCTTCCCCTCCTGGTATTGCTACTCCCATTATTGGTCCTGAGGGGTTTATCTGTCCTGGACTCCCTGTGTTTCCAGCTCTTATCTGTACCAGTGTACCTCCTCTGGTCTGGCTGGATTTTTAGGGCAGAATTGGGATCATGATAGTGGGGTTGGGGGTGGAGCATGGGGAGGAAACATTAAAGAACTAGAGGAAAGTTGTAAGTTTCATCAGTGCTATACTGCACCTTGACTGGCTCGTCTCCTCCCCAGTATACTGGTTCTTAATGTTTTTCTTAAACTTTCCAATGTACTATCATTGTCTCAGTGTGCAGAGTTTTAGTAAATTGCTGTTAGGCCCAGGACCATCAATAACTATCCTCTATATTAAAACAGGAATTATATGTTATATACAGCCTGCTGTCACCCAAGTTAACTACTGATCTAATATATATCCACTGGGTTGACATTCCTTTCAGCAGCGAGTCTGAAGAGGAAAACCATGAATAATTAATTATACCCAATTGCTTCAATTCATCATGATTTTTTAAAGATGCCCAAATGAACCTATTTTAAATGACTGATTATCATTTTCAAAATTTATTTTAATAAAATCTCAATGCTGGAATGGCTTTAAGCAAATTGCTCCACTCATTTGTATACTGGCATTATGATGACTTGGAAATAATACACAGCAAGAGCCATAAAATGTTGAAGTTCTCAATCCAGTTTTCCCACTCGTAGTTTAATAAGCAATCTGCAAGGGGGGAGGAATGTGACTGTGTACAGATGTTTCTAGTACTAGCTAAAGGACCCCTGGTGGGACTGTTGGGTAGGTGCTGGACTGCTAAACAGCTGGCGATTCAAACCCACCTGCTGCTCCTCAGGAGAAACAGGAGGCTGTCTGCTTGTGTAAAGATTTACAGTCCTGGAAAGCTTAAAGAGGGTATGTCTAGCAGATAATATAATCAAGGTATTTATATAATGTTAATATAATTAATATCATACTTTGAAATAAAATGTCATCAATGAGAAAAAGGTTGTTAAGTAAGCATTTTTGATTGCTTACTGATATATCTAATTTAGAATAATTCCCATTTTATTCCAATGCATTTCATATTAAGATAGAGCTTTTCAACAATTTATCAAAATTCTACTGAATTCAAGGTTAACAAAAGTTCTTTTCAAGAGTGTTACCTTGATTTTTAGCAGAATGAAATATTTTTATAAGTTTTCTAGGTCTAGAGTAAACAATTTAAAAGTTAATGTTCATATGTTTTATAAATCCATAATGTCACTAATTAGTTTCTATAATATCACCAGTCTTAATTTTCTAAGATTAAATGACTTGCTCCAGGAGGTCACACTCACTGTCAGTCATCCTAAGAAGACAAGTTTCCACATCCTGGGATCACAAGAAGGGATTCCTCATTCTTTCCAACTTGTATTCATCATGTAGGATCACGTAGCAACATCCCAAGTACATGCACCATTTACTGCTTGTAGAATTGATTTTCCCGGCATGGGATTGTGCTTACTTCATATTTTAAATCCATTTGATGAAAGAAACAGGTATCATGCTACCAAACACTTGATAGCATCATGCCCTTTCCCCTTTGAAATCGTTTTTAAGCAAATGAAATTACTGAGGGATTTATTTTAAATTGAAAGTTGAATTTTCCTATACATTTTCATTCAGTTACCATAGCAACAATTCAAATCAGACATCTGTCTCTAAATTACTTATTGTTATTAGAATTCAATTTCATGTCTTTGTTGAAACTGAGTAACATCAAATAATGGCCTTGAGGAAAAAAAAAAGAACTACAACAACTAATTGGCTATAAAAAATAGCTTTAAAAACATCCAGCTAATTTAAATTTAATTTATGTCTAATCCTTAAAGCAGCAATTATCTCTACAGTAAACAACAAGAGTGACCTAAATGCATATAAATGTTTTTAAGTGAATAAAAATCCTTTGTAAGAAACAGATATTACTTAAATCATGAACTAATTATTAAGAGGAAAAATCCAGTTTTACTTTATAGTGATTTTATTATAGAAAAAGGAGCCCTGGTGGCCTCGTGGGTTGCAAGTTGGGCTGCGAACTGCAAGGCCAGCAGTTTGGAACCCCCAGCTGTGCTATGGGGAAAGATAAGGCTCTCCGCTCCTGTACAGTCCGATAGCCTCCGGAACCAACCTGGGCAGTTAGACCGCAAGTCAGAAGCAACTCAATGGCGGTGAGTTTGGTTTCAGGCTGGTGCAGGGAGCGTTTGAAATTGCAAGTGGAAGTTTAAAATAAGAAATGTGCACAGAAGGATCAAAGCTGGGAGGGTGGGGATCTTTTGAAAGGAAATGGCTATCCCAAGATTGGAGAACTCCTGGTAGGCAGACAATCAAGGTCCCGCTTCAGCAACACCCTGTATCCTGTATTAAGATATGAGTTTTGGCGGCAAATGGGTGATGGACACTCTGTTTCATTCTGTTTATGACTGCTCATAGTAGGGGGTATCGCAGACGAGCTGCCACTGGGGTCGCCCTGTGGAAGTTGTGTTGTTTTTTCTGGTTTTCGATAAATGAAACCCAGGATTGATGAGTATGTAGGGACAACAAATAGAACAAGGGTATTAGGGGTGGCGAGTACAAGCCGGTAGGGGAGGTAAAAGGGAGATGATATCAAGGTTAAAGTATGTTGGGAAACTGATTATGGAAGCAATTGTACAATTGTGTGACAAGATTGAACTATGCAGGGATATGTCAGTGGCAGCCCAAGATTCCTTTGTGGAACTACATAGGAAATACATCTCCAGAGAACTCCCTCTATCTACAATTGAGGGGTGGGAAGAAAGTGGTTACTAAACAGAGAGCTTTGGAGAGATAAGTATAGAAGATCAAAGGCATAAATCTGACTAGAACAAATAAAATGTTGTCAGTAGATGCCCCCTCTGATGCAGGCTGCACCTGATCTGCTTTCCTAAGTTGTCTGTATCTGTGGTTTGTATTGCTCTGTGTGGGTTTTGCTTGTCCACATCAGGATGTATCTCAGAGGTGTTACGTCATTGCAGGGCACCCTCTTGAAATTGTGTTATATATTTTTCCATTTTTCAATAAATGAAACCCAGGATTGATGAACCTATAGAGACAGCAAGTAGAATAAGAGTTTTGGGGGAGAAGGGTTCAGTGGTGTTTGTATGTGGGGGGAGTGAGTTTTTTAAAGGGAACCGATAACACGGAAGTTATGTAGAAAAACAATGTTTGGAAACTGATTGTGGTGGAATGGTACAATTCTGCTTAACATGGCTGAACTATGGAATGATTTGATATATATACTAATAAAAATAAGTTAAAGGAAGAGAATTAATATAAAAGATGTTAACTTAGTACTTTACAACGTATGTACAGTATTGTCCTATGGCACAATCTGTGTTCTCACCTGAGGCCATGTGGTAATCATAAATTAGAAATATTCCTGAGAAGTGATTACACCTCAGGGAGGACAAAAACCATGACAAAGATTGTGTTTTTTGTATGAGTGCCTTAGGTCACTCAAGAAATTCCTCTTGTTAAATAAAATAAATGTATAAATTATTGTTTTTTCATGTCTTACACTGACTGATGTTTCCCTTGACCCACTTTTCTGTTGTCCGTCCCCCAGGGAGGGGGTTTTATGTAGATCATTGTGATAGGTTCTCCCTTTCTCCCCCACCTTTCCCTTACCCTCCTGGTGTCACCACTCTCATTATTGGTCCTGAGGGGTTTATCTGTCCTGGATTCCCTGTGTTTCCAACTCTTATCTGTATCATTGTACATCCTCTGGTCTAGCTGGATTTGTAAGGTAGAATTGGGACCATGATAGTGGGGGGAGAGAGCATTAAATAATTTATAAATTATCAAGGGTTTGTGAAGGAAGGGAAAATGAGGAGTTGATACCAAGGGCTCAAGTAGAAAGAAAATGTTTTGAAAATGATGTTGGCAACAAATGTACAAATGTGCTTGACACAATGGATGGATGTATGGATTGTGATAAGTGTTGTACGAGCCCCCAGTAAAATGATTAAAAATAAAAGAAAGAGCTGTAAGAGCCCCCAATAAAATGATTCTAAAATAAATAAATAAAAACAAAAAATTTCCAAATAAATAAAATAAATGTATATAATGGCAACAATGAAAATGATTCCACAGTGAGATCTTGTGTCATGGTCTTTGGACATGTTTACCCATCCATGGAAGAAGACATCACGCTTGGTAAAGTGGCGGAGCAGCAAAAAAGAAGGTCCTCCACAAGACAGAACGACACAGTGGTCACAACAATGGGCTCAGACATAACAACTGTGAGGCTGGCACAGGACGGGGAGTGTTTTGCTCTGCTGTACACAGGGTCGCTATGAGTTAGAACCGACTTGACGGATACACGCTTCCAGTTTAGGAGGCAGGCAGACCGCTCTTGCTAATAGCTGTAGATGATCTATTCTTATCATCTTTCCAAACTCTGTTTTCTCTAATGAAAGATCCATAAAGAACTGTTAACCCTTTCTCAGCTATACCAACTCAATGGAAGGGTTGAGGGATGAGAAATAAAGTGGAGGGGGTAAAAATTGTGTTGAAAATGAGTAATAAAGATCATTTATACATGTATGGGAATATTCACATTCTTTTGTATCCCAGAAATTGTATTGACAGAGCAATGTTCTAGTCTGTTGGGTATGGGGTCACTAAGAGTTGGAACCGATTCCATGGTACAATTAAAGCATTTCAAGCATAGGTTCCCAAATTTATTTGGGAAATTAAAAAAAAAGATTCAGCATTGCCCTGGCAATGAAAATCTTTTGTGCTATAGCCCATAATCCAGGATAAAGTGTAAGTAACTGTTTTTGCAGCCCTCCTAGGTTGTTCCAATGCCAACTCCCCACAGGGCAGTATCACCCACTTTGGGAAGTACTGATTTAAAGCAACAGTCTTCAATCACTGCTTAGTATATGGAAAATCCAACTGCTGTAGTGTGGCAGTTGGGTAAACTCCACCTCCCCTCTCTTCTTTGTGCACCCTGGTGTTAAAACCATGGAAACTCATCCTAACAAAATGTCTTTCACGTGTCCAATTTTAGCATTATCCTAGATTCCATATCTATATCCCTTAATGTCCATGTTTTTGAGTCAGAACCCTTCATATGAATTATTTTGAATGTATAATTTGACATATCATCAACATACATCATAATAAGCCCACAAAATGAGATGTACCTTTAATAAAAAAATCTTTCCTTTCATCCTTCTATCTTGTGTATTAGAATTGTACCAACATACCACAACCAATTTCACTAATTTCCATCAGCAAACCTATGAACGTTTGTAAATTTTATACAGATGCTATGAAGTAAATGTTTAGAGACGCTCGACATCAAAGAGCAGCTCAGCAAACCTTGAATAGAACCAGTTCTACGCCATTGTGCCTTCTTAGTGACTGTAATACGGTAGAGCTTGACATATATCCAGTGAAGATATTGTTATGAGCTGCCATCACATCAGTTTCCAACCCATAAAGACTCTATGTAGAATAGAAGGAAATATTACAGGGTCCTGTGCTATTCCGGCAGTTCTTCCTGTGCTCAAACACCCACTGTTTGGGCCCACTCTTGCAGCCAATCCATTTGGTTGAGGGGCTTCCTCTTTATCACTCACCCTCTACTTTACCAAGCATGGTGTCCTTCTCCAGGGACTAGTCTCTCCTGATAACATATCCAAAGCAGGTGAGATGAAGTCTTATCATCCTTACTTCTAAACATAAACTTTCTGGTTATACTTTTTCTAAGACAATTAATTTGTTCTTCTGGCAGTTCATGGTAATATTTAACATTCTTCACCAACACCATAGGTCAAATACCCTCGGGATACCCCTGCGCCCCACCCCCCCAAAAAAGGCTCCCCTGGCCAGAGCTTTCCGAGTATTCATCCCCCAACCCCCACCCAGCTAGGCGAGCACTGAGCAACTCGCTCTGAGTTGGTGCTCCAGTGATGTCGCCTGGGAAGAGTCTCTCTGGTCAGTGGCTTTTTTTCATAAAAGCAGTTTCACTCAAACAGTGAGTTTTTTCACTGATTTAAGGGAACGGTGTGCAGCTGTGAAATTTTGTTTCCTGCTCAGGAAAAATGCTGCAGAAACTGTTGTGATGTTGAACACAGCGAACAAGGACAGTGTTATGGGAAAAACTCAAGTACAAGCGCTTTCTTGTTTCATAAAAGGTGAAATGTTGATTGATGACAAACCTCATTCTGGAAGTCCGTCAACTTCCCAAATGGATGAAAATGTTGACGCTTAGGGCATTTAGAGTTCATTCCACCATGTCAGACTGTTAATCAAGCTAGAGTTCTGAAATGACCGCATAACAGCATATGACCAAAAAAGGCCTAATTTGTGGCAGACGGGGGACTGGTTTTGCCACCATGACAAGGCATCTGCTCATGCAGCCATCTCAGTGCACCAATTTTTGGCAAAACCCATCACGCCTCTCTTGCCCCCAACACCTTAGTCATCTGACCTTGTTCTGTGCAACTTCTTGTTTCCGCAAATGAAGAGGGACATGAAAGGACAGTGATTTGACACCATAGAAGAGATGAAGAAAAAAATGAGGGAGGTGCTATCAGCCATCCAAACAGATGAGTTTGAAAAATGTTTCCAAGAATGGAATTGAAGATTTGACAAATGTATTAAGTGTAATGGAGAGGACTTTGAAGGTGATAAGGTTGTTTTGTAAAAAAATGTAAATACATAGCTTTGGAAAAAAATTCCATTTTTCTGGGGGGGGGTGTACCCCCTAGTACATCAATTTGTCTTTGGTTTTTCTTATTCACTGTCTAGTTTTCACATGCATATGAGACCCTTTGGCTTGTGATAGGCACATCTTTATCTGCAAAGTGACATCTATGCTCATTAGTACTTTAAAGACTTTTCCCCCCAGAATATTAGCCCAATGCAGTATGTATTTTGATTTCTTCACTGCAGCTTGAATGGGCCTTGTTTGTGGATCCTGGACGACTTCAATATTTTCTCTCGGGTTTATCAGGTCTTGCTTACTGGTCCAGCTGTGAGAACTCTTGCTTATGCCACAGTGTGACCCACACTGATCTGTATCAGTAGTGCTTCAGTCCTCTTCACTTTCCGTAGGCAAGCATGTATCTGTGTCATGTGCATGTCACAGGCTGTTTGAGACTTCTTCCAATCCTGACTGTCATGTTCTTCTTCATATACTCTAGCTTAAGAGAAATAGTACCTGGGGCTTTTGGTTGATAATTCAATGAAAATATGAAGTAGAAAGAATTGTCTTCCTAACATTTGTAAATACCTAATATTTGTAAATAATATTTTAAAACTTTTTAAAAATCAGATTCTGTTTTCACTAATGAAAGATCCCTAAAGTAATGCCAATTCTTTCACAAACATTCAACTCAAAAAGAAGCTGGACAGTGCACCTGAACTTCAAGGCAGATGGAAAACATTGAAAACCAGCAACATATAGCAAGGACTGCAACAATAAAGAACAATATAGTACCACAAGAACAAACTCACTCCAATCGTTAGTTCTGACTCAAAATGATCCTATCAGACAGTACATTTCCAAGTCTGGCCTTTCTTCCAAAGGATAATAAGACAAAGAGTATATGGCTTTCTGCCTTAAAACAAACCAAAATAAAAACATACCATAGTATAATTGTGAGCCACTTTATGCAAATCTGTACAACCTTGTGCATCAGCAAAAGATCGAATTCCAAGACAGTTGGATGGGTGAAGCTGTTTCATTAAAAACTTACAGCATGCTTCTACAACTTGTGAAAGCTGAAGAAGGCAAGCTGTGGATAACAGGCACTCAATATTATCTTCTTTTAATTCAAGGCGGCCTGAATAATAAAAAGAAATTCCATTAGCTATATAATTATATGCACCTTAGCTTACAAAATAACTGATGCTAACAGCAATATTTCTAAGATCTTGTTATTTGTACTCCAGGTCTAGATGGTTAAAGACATTTTAAAAAGAACAAAATGTAGTAAATATGAAAAAAGGGGGGAAAAAAGAGATGAGTAGCTCATCACAATTTCTATTAAAATAAAAAGTAGCTTATTATCAGGATTTTTAAAGGATACAATAATTAGTCACTTATGTCTACTAGACATAACTTCCAAGATTTAAATGCAGCCATTTGAAAACATGTATATTATCTAATTATTATATTAATATTTAAAATACCATTCAAACAGTTAATTATTATAGCCAATGACAAAGCTTTAATACCTCTGCAGGTATCATCAAGAGTAAGGATTATGATAGACAAATTAACTGTTAGCCGTAGCATGCAATATTCATAGCAGAAATCTCAGCTTTAACAATAGAACATAAATCTGAAAAGGTTGCAAATTTATATTTAAAGACTTAGTACCTGTGTATGCATACTGTATCAAGGACCATAGTGAATTTGGTTCTACACCTTCCATTTTTATTTCTTCTTGTCTCGCTTCTCTGACATCATTAGTAAACATGGCAGCGAAATAGTCTGACACAGAGGAGAGCACCAATCTGAGAACACAGGAGGAGGAAAAAAATCTCTCAAGGGCCACATTCAAGCTAATGTTCATTAATAAAAACTTCCTTTAAAAAAAACATGTTACCTGTAGAAAATGCATGATACCAGGAAATGCATTTTAAGTATGACAAATTGCCGTATGCTCTATTTCCTCCTTTGAATAATAAATTACCATCACAGAAACTTTTCTGCTGAGGTAAATTATTTACTCACACTACTCAGCTATTGCTTTCTAAAACCCAGAAAAAAAGTTACAAGCATACAGCATTAAATCAACTCTACAAAGGGAAAAATAACATCTTGCTACTCCCCCCCCCTGCTGTTCCATTGCACCCCCCCAGTGCCTTGCCTCGGCATGGCGAGGTCAGATCAGGCGCAATTCCCACACTGTGTCACTGGTGTTGTCCCCCGCAGGGCCATGGAAAAATAACATAAAGGTTAATTTTTGCTTGTAGTTATTTTTTTAATTTAAATTATTTATTTTAAATTTAATCACATAGTAGGTAATATGTGGGAGACATGCGAGAATAACATTAGCAAATTAATAATTTAATTTTAATGGTAATTTTATATTATTAGATATCACATTTTGTTTTTGTTAAAACCTGTATTACAGAAGTGCTATAAAAGTAGATTTTGTTACCATATGTTAATATATACTAACCTATTACATTTCTAATATATATATATATACTATCTGCCCATAAACAAAAATAGATTCTGAATACATAGTTTTAAAACTGGGATTTCTCTTTTGATGTCTTGCAGATATTTCCATGTCAGCACAATTACTTAGAATTACTTTATTCTTTTTTAAATAAATAAAAAATGATAGATTCAGCTAATAGTTGAAGCTCCGTTTGCATTCCTAATTCCATTCTTACTCCCCAGGTTTGCCAATTGTCCAAAAGTATACCCCACAAAAAGAGCACAGGAGTTCCCATTTCCCCATGACATTGCCAGATATTGAAGATTCTGACCCCTTTGGCAAGGGGCTACAGGGCATCTCATTTCCATTCTCTGACCTTGTTTACACAGGGTCTTCTCTTCCTTCTTCCTGTGTCTTCCTTTATGTGTCTCTTATAACAATGGTCAGAGTTGGGACCCACCTGGATAATGCAAGGTGATCTCACTTCAAGATCTTTACCTTAATAATATCTGCAAGATCCGCTATCCAAATGAAGGTGCATTCACAGGTTTGGGGGATTAGGATGTAGATATATCTTTTTGAGTTCTACCATTCAATTCCCTGTACTAGCTTTGGAGATGCAGTATGGCCTAATGGTTAAATGTAGACCTTTTTTGTAGGCAGGTCTTAAGTCTCAGCAGGACCATTTTTATGGAATTAAAACACAGTTGTTTTTCTGGGTTTTGTTTGTTTGCTTCAATTGAAGAGAAGAAAAAGAGAGTCAGAAATAATATGTAAATAATATGGGTGCTTTTCCCCTATAGGGTCACTATGCGCCAGCATTAACCCGGCAGTGAGTTTGGTTTGTTTTTGTTTCTTCTATCATCCCAAATTCAAGGATTATAGTTCTTGGAATAGCTATAAGATGAGGCTGTCTTGCTGTGAGAATATCTCACTTTACTGAATGTAAGCTATGTTTAAAGCATTCTTTCAAATCTTTGCACCAGACACTGCAGTACCAAGACCATGAGACACAGCAAAGAAGTAGCACTGAGACCATGTGGCAGAGTAAAGAAGTAGCATTGAGATTGTGTGGCAGAGCAGTGGGCTTTTTGGCCCACAGAACAAGGCAGGGGCCGAGGGACCAAGTGGCTTAGGAGCTGAGGGTCAGAGAGCTATGCCTGCCAGCATGACTGACAGGAGGCAGTAAAGACAGAAGAACTGTATCCTTACCATTTTGTAAGCTGTTAGTGTCCCTAATAAATCCCATAGTCTGAGTATTTCAGTGAGTCCTGTGTGGCCATTGTAATGAATGATCAAACCCAGCAGAGAAGTAGAGTGCTACGGGAGCGATTCTGGCTGGTGTCAGAACAAGGTAAAGAAGGACAAGGGGTGTGGTATGTCTCAACTCTTCCTTCTGCCCGTCAGCCATGGCTGATGTGAAGGGGGATTCTTCTCTCTACTGAAGCCAGATGTGTCTTCTGTGCCATTTGCTTCAATGACCCTTTTGTGTTCATTTAATAAGCAAAATTTCATATGACCATTTTCCTTGTTTAAAGAAAAAGCCCATGATAAAGTATTCCATCAAAATAATTAATTAGAATGTGTTGCCTCAACATAGCGAGCTACTGGACCGCCAAGAATATATGTCACACATATAGAAACTTAGAAATCAAAGCAATTACCTGTGAGCTGGAATTCTGCGATCACCAGCGACCAGAATTACATCACACAGCTGCTTATGTCGCAGGTAGTTTTCCATCTTTTTGAATGTCTGCTCAGCATGATTAAGGGCCTGGAAAAATTCATCTGATGAACAAGGCTCCATAGTATGGCAGGATGATAATGTCTGGCTACTATTGGAAGTCCTGAAAAAAAGTGGAAACACATCTTTTAAAATAGGACTATGACATTAAAAAGGATCCTTGTTATCAAGGCCCTTTAAATACATGCAATAGAAGCAATCAACATTAATGTCCAAGCATTCATATTTTTGTCTTTTCCAGTCAGTGATGGCTAAATGCGCCTCATAAACACTGTGAGTGAATGTGGTCTCTAGCTGCTGGTTAACAGCTACCTTATCTTGTTTGCGGTCTCTCATCTAGTCAACACCTTATCACTGCTGAAAAAAGCCAACCTGTAGTCACGTTGATAGCCCTATCTCCTAATATTATATTTAAGGGCAGAAGGGATTGTCCTAGTCTTTGAAGGTAGGAAGCAGAGTAAGCCATTTTGGAAATATAAATCCAAACCATCCTTTACTTAAAAAGTGGATTATGATAAAGAGTTCATTTATAGAATTATTGTTTTAATATAAACATATGGTCATAAAAACGGTATAAAATACTTATTTGATTCTCTAACCAATCCTCAGAAGCCTAGGTAACCTACAATTAGTATCACAGGCTAAAGCAATACGAAGGCCTGATAAAGGAGTCTACAGAAATATTTGGCATTTCCAAATTGTAATTTGAGGTGTAAAAGGAGCTGCAGATTAAAAGATAAAAAGGTTAAAAAGTTAGAACTAAGAGTGAAGTCCTGTGGCTACACATCCACAGTCTCCCCTCCAGGATAACTAGAATCAAGTCATCAACATCTGTTGCCTAGTTATGCAATGAGCTACAGAACCACCAACTGTGCTATATAACCTGGCTCTCATTGCTCCTCAGATTTACTTGTAGGAATATTAGGGATCTGACAAATGCTTTCTTAAATCAATCCTCACTAGACCTTAAGAACATTAGAAAAGCTGTCTTATCAAAACAAGAAAAAGTAAAGTTGCCAGGTCTCTAATTATAAAGCAACTAAAGTGCAATAGGTGACAAAAGTGGGATCAGGAGATACTCACAGAGTGTTGTTCAAACCACCTACAGAGAGATGGGAATCCTAGCCTGCTTCTACCCTGAGGCAAAGAGGCTAACCATATGAAAGGAGGGTGATGGTACAAGAAAAATGAGGAAGATTCAGCAGAAAGAAAAAAACCAGAATGAAAAATCTGGGACATTAGTCTGCTTGCTGCTTGGTGACTGTCCTTCAGCTTGGTAAGAGCGAGTGAGTCTCTTCAGTCTCCAAGGTGCAGAGACTACATTTCTTGGTCTCTGGCGAATCAAACAGTTCTTAATATTCTGGCTCTGCATAACTTAAAAAGTTATGGCTTCCTTCGCCAATTAAGCGCTTTGATGTAGCAGAATGAACTCGAGAGGTATATATCATTGGGATTTAAGAACATTTACAAAGGTTCTAGGCTTGGCTGTTCAATATGGTAGTTCCTAGCCTCATGGAGCTATTTTAACATACTTTAAAAAATTTTAGCCCTGAAATAGTTCTTGAGTTCACTACCACATTTCAAGTGCTCAACAGCCCTATGGGGCCACTGTTGTTGTTAGGTGACACTGAGTCAGCTCCAACTCCTAGCAACCACATGTGCGACAGAACAAAACACCACTTGGTCCTATACCATCTTCTCAGTTGTTGTGCTTCAGCCTATTGTCGCAGCCACTGTGCCAGTCTCATCAGCATTCTTCCTCTTTTCCCTGACCTTCATGATGTCTCTTAGGATAATGTGTCCAGAGTATGTGAGACAGTCTTGCCATCCTCACCCCTAAGGAGCATTTTTGCTGTACTTCTGACAGATTGGTTTCTTCCTTCAGTACCATCAATTTTTAATCATATGCTACCTCCTGAAATGGTTGAACGTCAACCAATTTTTTTTGTACAATGACTGTGAATTTTCTATTTTATTTTGATGCTGCCTGTATCATTCAATATTGCCCATAGAATCCTTCAATTTTGCAACTCATGCATTTAATTTTTTTCTTTAGTTCTTTCAGCCTAGGGTATACTGTTCTTCTCTCTCGGGGTTTTCTAACTCCAAGGTTTTCTGTGTTTTATTATAATATTTTAATTTCTTCACCAGCTGCCTTTAGAAATTTTCTGTTCACCTTTTATTTCATCATTTCTTCCCTTAGCTTTAGCTATTGTACATTCCACAGAAAATTTCAGTCCTTTCTGACAACCTCTTTGTTTTTTTCTCCTTTTTCCTGTCTTTTAAATGATCTTTTGCTTTTTTTCATGCCTGACATCCTTCCACAACTTGTCTGGTCTTTGATAATTGGTGCTCAATGCATCAAATCTGTTCATAAGAAATCATTTTAATTTTCTTCAGCCATATTTTCCAAATACTGTACTTCCTCTGTTTCCACCTTTTATATCCCCACTACAAGTAATTATCACTGCACCTTGATTATAATTTCATACTGAGGGAGGTGGTAGAGTTCTTCAGTTTCTTCATCACTAGCTTGAGTGGCTGGTGCATAAATTTGAATAACAGTTTTATTAAATTAACTTCCTTGTAGGTGTATAGATATTCTCTTATCACAGATAGCACTGTACTTTAAGACAGCTCTTGAAATGTTCTTTTTGATAATGAATGCAAATGCCATTTTGCTTTAATTTGTCATTCCCAGTATAGTAAACAATATGATTGCTGAATCCAAAGGGGCCAATCCCAGTTCTTTTCAACTCATTAATATGCCTAGGATGTCAATCTTTATGCATTCCATTTCATTTTTGACAATTTACATTTTCCTAGGATCCACACTTCCTAATCCATGTTCTGATGATTCATGGGTGCGTGCAGCTGTTCTCACTTTAGTCATGCCCCATCCACAGTCAAGGTCCTGCAAGCTTTGGTCCATGCACATACTTGGAGAAGGCAGCTCTTCTCGGGTGTATCGTGCATGCCTCCAACTTGAGGGGCTTATCTTCCAGCACTATGGCAGACAACGTCCCGCTCCTACTCCTAAGGTTTTCAGCGGCTAATCCCTCAGAAGTAGACCGCCTCTATTCCTTCTTTCTAGTTTGTTCTTAGTTTGGAAGCCCCACTGAAACCTGTTCTCTTTGAGTGACCCTGCTCGTAGTATTTTAAATACTGGTGGTATAGCTTCCAGCATCACAGAACACACAAGTGACTACAGTACAATAAACTAGTAGATGGGTGAGGGCTAGTGGCTACCACATTGGATTGTGTAGACACGGAACATTTCTATCGTTGCAAGATGTTCTTTTGCACAGTGCTGCTAGTTCAGTCTGTCCAACAGACACGGGTTCAAATTTTGCTCTGCCACTCATTGTGTATCCCTCTGGACAAAAGGTCTTTGAACTCTCTACGCCTCATTTTCATCAATAGCAAAGCATGAGTAAAGTAGCACATAGTACTTTCTTTCAAAGGATTCCCTTAGTGAACATTATTAAATAATGGACACTTTCATACAAACAAAAAAACAATAAGCCAAACCACACTGTCACTGAGCGAATGCCAACTCATAGTGACCCTATATCAGCGATTCTCTCAACCTTCCTAATGCCGCGACCCTTTAATACAGTTCCTCATGTTGTGGTGTCCCTCAATGTGGGTATATCTGCATGGGGATGGACCCACCTGGAGACGGATAGAGGAGCGGTGTCTTGGTTCCTAAAACCATTGGAAATATGGTGAAATATGTGAAAGGGTCTTTTGACCCCCAAAAGGGTCGCGACCCACAAGTTGAGAACCACTGCCTGATATGAAGTTTCCAAGATGGTAAATCTCTAGGGGAACAGATAGTCACATCTTTCTCCCAGAGAGTGGCTAGTAGATTTGATCTACCAACTTTGCAATACAGTGCATAAAGCACAGTACTACCCGCTAACCAGAGTAAGTGTACCATCAAGGAAAACTACTGTTTGTAGAATCTTGTTGTTCACAGGGAAATGGGATTTTAATCTGTTTTTTGTCTTTATGTATTGTTTTTTGTTCATTCATTTGGTTGGCTGGCTGACGGTCTTTTTAAAAGATGAACTGCAGCATTCTCAGTTTGTAGAACGAAACATCATACTTTCTCTTTTAAAAGACCTTCAGTAAACCCAGCAGACACCCTAATCCATAATACAAATGTCTGGAAATAGTCTATTTCTGGAGGGCTTAAAATATATTTCCCTGTGATTTCTATTTGACGTTTTACATGATAACAGATGAAACATGCCCAATATCTCTACCTACTTTTATGTATATGCTGCTCAGATGTAAATCACATTAGAAAGAATTGCATGAGATAATTAAAATCTTCTTTTATATTACCTTCACCATAATGAGTACATGTATGATATGTGGATTAAATGCCAATAAAACTGTAAAGATAAAAAAAGGAGTGCAGAGGGTTAGGTGTTGGGCTGCTAATGTCAAGGTCATTGGTTCAAGTCTACCAGCCAGGGGAGAAAGGTGAAGCTATCTTCCCCCTAAGGATCTGCTGTCTTGGAAACCCTTTATGGGGTCACCAAGTGTCAGAATCAACTTGATGGCAGTGGGTGTTCGGGTTTCACTGTAATTAACTATGCATTGCTGAATATGCCTAGGCTACCGGAAAAAAATGAATTCCTAGATTATGTTTCTATGTCGCAGGCTATAAACTGTAGGTAAGATAAATGTCTAAAGATAGAAAAGAGGCAATTATTAAACAGAGTCAAGTCACCACCTATTTACAGAGCAATTCCTAAGGTGCAGCACTGCCCAGTTGTTAGAAAATAATTCTGCAGTGCAGGGATTTGAAGCTTGAAGAATCCAATTTCATAAACTAGAAAAAATGAAAGCACCAACACAAAACAGCACTGCAAATCTTTGCAATTCTTCAGTTAATACACACATACACGCGTGCACACGCACACATGCACCAATGTATCTTTTTCATTATAAATGCCTTAGATGTTTTCACTTTCATCACCAGAAACTGTATTAGGCTTTTGTAACAAAGTAATTTTTCAAAAGAAAATTTTAAACTCACTTCACAAAAATTACATTATAAACAATTATGAGCAGGAAGCCAAGAGCTGC